GATACCCCTGAATGTCCTCCATGTGGCAAGAAGCGTCTGGTGGGCCACATGCAAGGCCAGGTGCTGGAGCGCCAAGGAGGACTGAACAGCTCAGCCAGCTCCCCTGAGAAGCCTTAGTCAGTAATAACCCGTATTCTGATCTCCTTCTGGCTACTGACCTTTTCTACACCCTGGCACCCCAGCTTGGGTGAAGCAAGGCAGTGTAATTTCAGGGGTCCCTGTTGCCAGAGACCCAGCGCAGAAGCCTCCTGCAGAGGCCTGAGAAGTGTCCCAGCCTCCTCCTCCCCACCCAACTGGGGAAGGCCTCCCACTGCCCGCTCCTCCTTGATGGATGGGCTCCCCGACCCTCACCTGGCCCCATCGGTCTCGCACCCCACCCCCTCCTCCCTGGCTGGGCCTCCTTGGCTCCCAGGGGAAAATGGAGGCAAAGGCTGGGAGGCCTCGCCAGCTCACTGGGCTTCTCTGCTGACTTCCCCCTGCGCCCTCCCCTCTTGCAGTCCAGTCCTAAAAGCAAAGGAATGTTCTGGAGTTTGGGAAGGATGGGGGCCCCTCAAGGAGGGAGGAAGGGGAGGAGGCAGCTTGTCCTGTTAGTGTCTGAGCTCTAAATAGAACACAGCGGCTGGGCTGGGGGAATGAAAATAAACAGCCCCTCGGAGCAGCCCTTCCTAGTGGTCACCGGATTTTCCTCTGGTCCCTTAGCCCGGGGCCATTTCCCTCCCCTCCTCTCAGCTCCCCTCCTGGAGGCAGCAGGAGCCAAGGCTGTGTGACATTCCAGAACCTGCCTCCCCTCTCTGGACGCTGGCGAGGCCAGCAGCCAGCCAGTCCACCTGGGCGAGTGGAAAGTCCTGGACCAACCCAGAAGTGCCTGCAAGGTTTTCCAATGACTCCCTTGTGGGATAAACTTAGAAACTCTCTCTTTAAAAACATAACCCCAAATTTAAGGGTCAATCTAAGGTTAGCTTCAAGTTACAGTGCTTTGCCTGGATCTTGGGGGAACACCTCAGACCCTCCTCCAAGTCACAGAGGAGTGACCCACAGGAGCTGGCAGAAGGGGCTCCCTTGGGGTTCATAGAGCTGGGTCCATCCATGGACACACCCAGGGTCCTGGGCCTGTGGACGAAAGGCTTTCGAAAGGCATCCCAGGGTCAGCACACAGGTTCTGCCTCTGCTCTCTGCCCCATGCTTTGCCTGAGCCCAGGACCCTAACCTTCCCCACCAGTGGGGCCCGTTGAGTGGGGTCCCAAAGGAGCAGGAGGAGTTGGGGAGGGGTCAGGGGGGAGGCACTTGGATTCCTCCGGGGCCCTCAGTTCAGACGGGCTGGGGTGGGGGACCTAGGAGCCCACCCAGGGGTGCCGCAGCGACCCCACCCTGGGAGGGGAAGTAAGTGTCTGCTCTCAGTCCTGGGCCTCTCCCCTCATCCCTTCTTTCTGTTCTCTCTCCCCTCCCCCTCCTCTGCTCACAAAAGCTCTCTGTACACAGCCATTTCCTCTGGCTGCTGTCTCTGCGCCCAGACCTTATGAGAACCATATGGGGGAAAGAGGGAGGAAGAGCAGCGGGTGGGGGACGGCAGCCTGCCCCCCTCTCCAGCAGCCTCCTCTCTGCTGCCCTCAGGCTGGGCCCTGGCTCCAGTGTGGTGCCCCCACTCCTCTAACTGGGTCCCTGGGGCTGCGGCCACTGAGTCTCTGCCCCAAGCCCCAGGTCCACAGGGAGGAGGTCTCTGCCACAGAGCCACACCCTTGAGGTGGGAGCTCTCCCCGAGGCTGGGAAGGGGCTTCCTACCCCTCTCCCCACCTTTACCACCCGACTCCTCCAAGGCACCCCCAGTGCTCAGCTTGGCACAAGTGACCACAGCCCCTCCTCCCCACCTGGGAGACCTGGCAGATTGGTGGGGGGCGCTGCCTGTTTTGGACAGAGCGACCTGTCCCCTGCCTGCCCCTTCTCACCCAGCCTGGAATGTTCCCAGGTCAAAAGGGCTCTGGTCCTGCTGGGAAAAACTTAAAAAAAAAAAGATGTGTGTATAACTGTGTGTGTGTGTGTGTGTGTGTGTGTGTGTGTGTGTGTGTGCATTTACACATGTACAGTGGGTGTCAAGTCCGGGGACGTGAACCTCAGGCCTTCACCTGACAGGAACTAAGGAATCCCAAGCAGCACATCCTGCTGCTGACCCACCTGGCTGTGTGACCACACAGGGCACCGTCCCTCTCTGGCCACAGCAGGCTGTGCGGAGAGATCTGGCGGTTGGACTCCCGTACTTGCTTATCTCTAAGCCCCTTTCCAGTGCAGACCATGAAGGAATTTATGACATGGCTGGTGTCCTCAGAGGGGCTGCTCAGATGTGCTGGGAGGTCCACTCAGCTCTGCTTCTGGACTTATCTACAAAGTCTGCCCCTGGAATTCCTTATTCTCAGGCCCCTTATCCCTCACTTGAACTCTCAGAGCCAAGAAACAGTGGGCAGGCCCTCAGCTGCTGCCCCGGAGTAGGGGGCTCACAGTGGGTTCCACCCACGCCAGCTACTCCGGGGTCACCAGCCACCCCACCCTCCGACCTTTCCCCTCCCCTGAGGAGCCCCTGCCCACAGCTTCCCTGCAGACTGAGCCCAGACTGGGGGTGGGGTGGGAGCATGGATCAGGAAGGAAGCCAAGAGCTCTGCTTCCCTGGAAAACTGAGAATGAAAGTCCACAAGAGGAAAAAAGAAAAAAAAAACAACAACAAAGGTTGGGGCGAGGGGCACAGAGTCTACAAAAACAGAAGAGAGAAGTAGAGATAACGGTGGAGGAAGGGCTCCGCTGAGGTAAACAGGAGGCTGCTGAGCCTCCCAGATGCCCCAGGCCCCGGGCTGCAGACGAGGCTGGGGTCTGAGGTGGTACTTTGAGCTCCACCACTGTGTCTGCCAAGTTTCCCAAGGTGGCATCCCGAGTCCTCAAGGGACTGGAACCTGGGGGTCCACTCCGGAGAGAAAAAAAAGCACTGTCGGGGACAGAGCAATGGCACCAGGTGACAAGGTCAAAGGTGAAGAGCTGTGTGGAGTTAGGGTGGGTGAGAGCAGGCTTCGCACTTCCCGCGTTCAGCCCAAAGCCTTCTGCTTTGCTGCCCGGCCCCCTCCCCACCTTCAGGACTGCCAAACTCAGCAGGGAATCCTAGCCCAGCTTCTGCCCCCAAGACAGTGCCGACTCCTTTCCCTTCAGAACTAGATGGGGGCCACATCGTTGGGATCAAAATTATGTAGCACTAGGAGATCTGCCTAGTTGAGGGGGCCAAGCTGACGGGCCATGGGCTCTGGGACTTCCTGTCCTATGTGTTGTCCTGTCCTGTCTGACTTGGAAGGTTTCTTATGTCAGCTAGGTCTGCTAGGAAGGCGGGTGCTTCCTCTAGGCAGGGCAAGGGACCAGAGGTGCGGGTGGAGTCACATCTGCTGCTACCCTGTCACCATAGATTCTTATTCAGAGTTGGCCCGGCTCTCTCCTTGGTGTGGCATCGATGGGAATTAGCCAGGGCTGGAAAGCATTAGCTGCCAAATCATTCTAAGATGTACTGCAAAACCACCTTTCTCTTTTCCCCCTTCCCTCTGCATTGGCTATGTTAGGGTTCCCTAATCCTGCCCACACTCACAGAGATAGCATCCCGTATCTACGAACCCATGCGGCCACAGGAATCCTACTCTTGTTCCCAGCCCCATTTCATCCCCAGATGCCAGTGGGCTGGGCAAGGCTCAGGCCTGTAAGGACCTTGCAGCTAGGGGTCTTAGAGAGCAGGGCAGTCACAGTTGGGCTGCAGGGAGCTGGGTGAGGGCAGGCACACCCCACACACACACACCTCCAGGGTCACCCACACACACACACACACACACACACACACACACACAGCCAGCCAGGCCAGCGTCACAGGCTGACCAGTTGCGTCCTGTCAGGAAGCAGGCAGCCTCTGAACTCACCCAGCCAGAGGCTGTACTGTATTGTTCTGGACACAATCGAATAGAGGAGCCGGACCCAACACTGGGCAAGGGGAGGTGGAGAAAAGGTGGCCACTGGCGTCAGGACAGGGCACGGGAAGCGGCTGGCTTTTCAGCTCAACCAGGACAGGAAAGCAAGGGGCCGAGGCTAGGGCTAGGGCCCGACCCTCAGCCCCACTGCATGCGTGGAGTCCCTAGCACGTGGCCAGCGCAGGAAATCGCCGTGGCGGGGAAGGGTCCGAGGACGCCTTCGGTTACCCAGACTGGAAACCCCGGGGAGGTGGTGGCGACGCGGTGGGGACTAAGCCGCCTTTGTGGCCGACGAAGCGAGGGCTGAATTGAAGCCCTAGTGGCAGCGGGAATCACGGAAAGAGGTGGTGTGGGGGGCGCCTCCGCTCAGAACCTGGTCGGTTTCTTCGCAATCTTTGCAAAGTCGAAAAACAGCCAAAGCTCGGGTCTTTGCAGGGGAGGGCGAGTACGGCCGGCACAAGTCCCCAGCACAAACCCACAGTGGGAGGAGAGGGGCCCCAGAGCAAGCCGGACGCTGGGGTCCGGTTCAGACCAGAAACACCCGCCTTCCAAGGGCAAGCTTTCCTGAGCTCAGCCTTGAGGCTGCCTGAACTCACGGCAGGCGGGCTGGAAGGCCCAGAGGGCGGGTGGGCTGCCCCGATAGAGGAGTCGCGCCCACCGCCTAGCAAATGCACGGATCTGCGGCTGCGGGGACCCCAGCGTCGACCCTCCCGAGCCTTTCCGCCCGAGTCCCCGCGGCCGCAAGCGCGCGCCGGGCTGGAGACCTGGCGCAGCAGCGTCCCGGGCGCGCACCGCCCCACCTGCGCAGGTGAGGGGCTTCTAGTGCTACGTTCCCGGGTGCAGCCACCCCGCACCCCTTCTTCCCTCCAGGCTTCCAAACTTCAGTCTTTCTTCTCTTCCCCAAGCCTCTGCTCTCCGCCTGCCCTCGGACCCCGGACTGTCAGAGTCGCCCCTTGCCCTCCGCCCGCACCTCAAGCCCGCGTCCCCAGTCCTTGCCGGCCGGCCGGGCAGGATACTCACAGCGTGACGGTGCCGTTCGGGAGGAGGCCGGGCTCCGGAGGCTCCGGGAGGTCCCCGCCACCGCACACCACTCTCCTGCGCGCCGGGTTCGGGGCACCGCCGCCGAGCCCCTTAGGCCGCTCCCCCGAGCACTTGCAGCTGCGGATGGGCACGGGGCAGCCAGGCGCGCTCCGCGTCTCAGGCGCCAGGAGCAGCAGCCAGGGCAGCAGCGGCAGCAGCAGGCGCGCGGGCGCCTCCCGCATCCTGCGTTCCCCGGTGCCCATCAACCCATCGCCCGCGGGGGCGCACAGCGCGAGGAGCCTGGCGTGCGCCGCGCGCTCAGCGCGGGCCGGGGGACCCTGGGCGGGGACGAGCCCGGGAGTCCCCGTCGCCGCGCCCCGGGGGCATGTCCGGCCGCCCCGCGGGGAGGGCGCGGCGCGGTGTCAGCGCGGGGCGGACGGCCCCAGCCTCGGCGCGGCGCTCCCGGGCGGCCTCGACCCGGCCCCTGCGCCTCGCCTGCTCGCGGGGCTGGGCTGGGACCTAGCGGATCGCGCCCGGCTCCAGCCGCCGCGGCTTCGGGCCATGGATGGAGGCGGCTCTGCCGCTACCGCCGCCCGCCCTCGCCGCCGCGCCGCGCCGCGAGGCCCTAGCGCCTTCCGCCAGGCCCGGGCCCTGCCCTCCTGCGGTGGGAGGGGCGAGCCGGCTGGACACCCCGCAAGCCCCGAGCCAAGACTCCTTCTCCCTCTTACCCTCCCTTTTTGCCCTGGGCCACGGCCAGTCTCGGAACGCTGAGCCAACCCCTCTCTGTCCGCAGCACCTCCCAACTCTGGCTCCTCCGGCCCGGCTTGCCCGGGCCTCTCCGGCTTTCGCTGACCTGTAGGCAGAGCCTGAGAGGTCTGGGGCGCCGCCCTGGGGACTGATCTTCGCTCCTCACTGGGAGGTCTCTGTTGGCCCCTGCCTGGCTCAATGACCAGTCTGGACTTTGGTTCTCACTGTCACACTCAGCTCTTGCCTCAATCTCTGATGAGGCCACCACAGGAGGGTACATGCCAGGGACAAGGAGGCAGCAGACCTCATCCAGCCAGCATGACCTTGCCCGGTGGGGGGTGCGTGTCATTCGGCCAAGGAAAGGTCAGAGGCCGAGCAGACACTGCTGGATCTGGTCATCTGTGCGTAGTGTGTGTGTGTGTGTGTGTGTGTGTGTGTGTGTGTGTGTGTTTGGGGGACAGTGAGTGGGAAGAAGGGAGAATGAGACAAGGGAGTGGGCATTGTGCTGCACAATCCTAGGCTTAGCCCTGCCTCTTGTGAGCTGCTGGATTTTGCATCAACCCATAACTTCTTGGGGTATCTGTAAATCGTGGTGTGGGAGGCAGGAAAAGGTACTCCAGACAGGGTCTACCTAGACAACTGCAAGGGGTGGCAGTCAGTGCTGATGGTGCTGAGTGTGCCACAGTGCTCCCTCAGTTTCCCCACGCAGCATGGTCTCTCTGCCAGGCAGCCTTTCTGTGCTGCTAAAAGTCCAGTTGCCAGGACTAGGGCACGACTGTCCCCCACCTGCTCCTGCAGCCACCAAGGGGACCCAAGTCGACACCACCTGCTTTCCCAGTACCACTGTGGCCTGTGCAGGAGGTGGCCCTGTGCCTGGCGGCAGACACTGGCCTCTTCTCACCCTCCCTCCCTGGCTCCACAAGCCTCCCAGTTGCAGGCTCTGGTTCCTTAAACTTCCAAAGATAAATAAATAGTGATTGCAAATGGAGGAAGGGAGAAGGGGACCAGGCTTCCCCAGCAGGAGCCGGGCTGGGCTGCATTCCTCAGGAAAGGGGTAGGGGAGCCCAGCCTGGCTGGCCTGTGGCCTGCCTGCTGGGAGGGCGCCCGTCCAGCTCACAGGCAGGGAGCTGGGGAGGAGAGGAGGATAGAGGCCTCTCCAGCATGGGAGGGGGGACATTTTCTTTTGCTAAATGTGTCTAGAAAGGAATTCTCCTGTCCCACCTGCTCTCTGAGGCTGAATAGTGGTGACCTTGACGGTATCATGCAGCCAGGGTTCTCCATGGTGGGAATGAGGAATCTGGTGTAGACCTGTACAACATTCCTGTGTTTGTGGGTATGGCAGCACATGCCTGTGGTCCCAGCACTGAGGAGGCTGAGGCAGGAGGACTGCAGCCTAGCTACATAGGGGGGCTACATAGGGGGCCAGCCTAGCTACATAGGGGGACTATGTATTTGTTTGTGCACGTCTTTTTGAGACAGGATCTTGCTATGCAGTTCAGATTGGCCTTGAGCTCACTTTGTAGCCCAGACTGGTCTCAACCTTGCAATGATCCTCCTGTCTCAGCCTTCAGAGGGAGACTATGTCTTAAAAAAAATGCCAAATAGGGTGGCACAAACCCATAATCCCAGCACTTTGGGAGGCTGAGACAAGGAGGATCACAAGTTCAAGCTCAGGCTGAGCAATGTAGCAACTCATTGAGACCCTGTCTCAAAATGAAAAATACCCCAAAGAAGTTCCAGATATAGCTTGTGGTGTGGGAGGCAGGTGTGAGTTTAATCTGTAGTACTGCAAAATAAATACCCCTCTCCCATTTCCCTCATCAAAGAAACCCCATACCTGTTCCAAGGTCCTCATATTCAGCTTCTATGCCACCCAGGAAGGATAGAGTAGGAGTAAACTCTCCCATTGAGTAAGTACAAATAAGGAAACTGAGTCAATCGGCATAATAGAGCCTGAAGTCCAGGGAGCCTATGATGGGCTACTCCATCCTGTGCCATAGGGCGCTGCCTGATCTAACCTCAGAGGTGCACAGAGGAAAGAATGACTTGCACCTGAAATCAAAGCTACTTGGGAGGCTGGGGCAGGGGAATCTCTTGAGTGCAGGAGTTGGTTGGCAATGTGTAGAGACACTGTCTCAGAAATAAAATAGGCAAAATGAAAGCTTTGGGTGTAAGGGTTGTTTGAGCTGGGAGGATAACTCACACTTGTTCCCAGCCTCGGAAGATCTGGGTAGGGAGCCTATGAAATATACTTCATTTTTTAAAAAAGTGTGCTTGGCAATGCTGGGGATCAAACTCAGGCCTGGTGTATGGCAGGGAGTGACCTACTGCTGAGGCCCAGCTCTCCTCTGGCTTGCATTTCTTTTTTATTAGTGTCTGTCTGCAATACAGAATGATTATGGTCACCTTGGGGAAGAGATGCATGTTCACGTCGCATCTTAATCGGTCTTACTCCCCCCCTTCACCCTTCAGTGCACGTTAATAGGTGTCAGGCTGTGCAGCGGAGATCGGGAATGGTAAGGCTGAATTAATTTCAGCTAGGGTGATGACGAGAATTTGTAGTCTAACCTCATCTCTACTAGACCTCCACCTAAGGGTTTGGGGGCTCATACACACTATCTTCCTCTCAAAAGATCTAGCTTCTATATCTGGCTTTTTTTTTTTTTTAATCTTTTTTTTTCTTGGTACCGAGAATCAAACTCACGATCTTGTGCTTGCCAAGCAGGTGCTTACACTGCTGAGCTAAATCCCCAGCCCTGGCTTCTTTTTAAAATAGGAAAGTTTTCACTATGCTGCTTGGCTGATGTTGAGTTTCCAGGCTTGAGTGACCCTCCTGCCTCAGCCTCCCAAGTGCTGGGGTTACAGATGTGTGTGTGTGTGTGTGTGTGTGTGTGTGTGTGTGTGTATGTTTTAACAGGCATCTCGTTCAGTTGCCTTTGCTGGCCTTGAACTGGCAGCCCACTTGCCTCAGCTTTCTAAGTGCTGAAGCTACAGACCTGTGCATACTTTTTAAAAAGTGTAGCTGCTCAGTGATCTCTGGAGACTGAAAAGCTAGAGCCACCCCTTGGAGAGGTGGGGAAGAAGACGGATGCCCACTGAGCACTGATGATGTGCCGGGCTCTGTGAGTGCACTTACATTTCAAGACTTACCTCATGGAGCTCCCCCCGTAGGGCAAAAGAGAGGACCTGAGGGTGGAGAGGCAGCTATTGGTAGTAAGCAAGAGAGCTGGGGCTCATTCAGGGTGGTTGTCACGCTGTGTTAGGCACTGAGCCCCGCCCTCTTGTGTGTCAGCCACACTGTCCCCTGAGTCACACCTGTGCTCCAGAGCTGGGTCTGAATGTTGGAACTTGGCAGGGCCTAACACTGTAACTGCCATTCTCTACGATTTTGGGGAAGAGAAAAGCTCGCCACAGTTCCCCAAGTTCTGCTTTCCCTTGAGGTTTGTTCTTGTGGATTTGTGGATTCCCTGGTCCTCTCTGAACCAGCCCTTTAAAAACATCTACTCTGGAAGCACCTCTGAATATAGAGCCAGGACCCCCTTCACTCAGTCGCCAGCTGCCCCAGGGAAACAGAAACTTTGTAGAGAACTTGACCACCGAGCTGGGAGAAAGGCAGGCAGGGAATACAGAATACAAGACAGGAGCTAGGAGTCAGGTGTGGTGGCCCAGGCCTATAATCCCCGCATGCAGGAGGCTGAGATGGGAGATCTCCATGAGTTCCAGGCCATCCAGGGCTACATAGTGAGACCCTGTCTCAAAAAAAATAAAATAAAATAAATAAAACCAAACAAAGCCAAACTGTAATTGTTGCTACACTGTGTCAATTTGAGAAGTTTAAAAGTTTAACTGAGTGACTCAGCAGGGAGCCAGGGTCCTCACTTTGTGAACATCCTCAGCTTATGCAAGAGGAGGGCACAGAGACGGTGACTACACCTGCCCTGGGGGTGGGCAGGGTGGCCTGCTGTTAATATCAGGGAGGAATGTCGGGCATGGCGGCTCACACCTGTAATCCCAGCACTCGGGAGGCTGAGGCAGGAGGATCATTGCAAGTTTGAGACCAGCCTGGGCTACACAGTGAGCTCAAGGCCAGCCTGAACTGAACAGTGAGACCCTGTCTCAAAATGACCAAAAAATAAATAAATATCAGGGAGGAAAAGAGGCTGCTTGTCCCACTATCATTTTTGTTTTTGAGGGTTTTTTGCTCTTTTGTTGTCTTCTGCTGTCTTGAACTGTTGCCCCTCACAACACCACCCTGCCTTGCAGCCAGCTGATGATGGACTGAAACCTCCACAAACTGTGAGCTAAATAACCCTTTTTCCTTCTTTATCTTTGGGCTTTGGGTATTTTGCCCCAGCAATGAGAAAAAATAAGCGACACACAAAGCAAAGCAAAGCAAAAGAAAACAAAAACCAACCTGAAAAGATCAGGAGACCATCTCACACCTGTAATCCCAGCTACCCTGCAGGCTGAGGCAAGAGGACTGCAAGTTCCAGCCTAGCATATGCAATTTAGCAAGACTCAAAAAAAATTTTTTTAAAGGCTAGAGAATAAAATAAAAAGAAAACCCACTGTGTGAGGTCTTGGATTTAATCTGCAGTATTACCAAAATAAATGAGTAAATAAAACACCTGTAATTCTGGGGTGAAGGATGGAGGCAGCTTCACGGCAGAGCTCGTGCCTTGCTCTTTTGTGCCACCCCCCCTTTGGAGGCAGTCTCCCCGCTGTCCCGCCTTCTCGGAGGTGATGCCCACAGCGTGAGTCGGGCTGGAACATTGGAGAGGCCAGCATTGTATACTGGTGGTTTCTCAGGCTGTGCAAGTGTGGCATCCAAACTCGGCCGGGGTT